CGGGCCCCGCCCTCTGCCTGCGCGCCCGGGGCGTCCTGCGGAAGCAGCTCCTGAGCTCGGCGGTGCAGGACATGAACTGCGTTCGCAGCCGTCGGCGGATCGACATGCTGAAGAGCGGCGGTTTGTCGGACCTCCTGGTGGTTCTGATCACCGGAGCGTCCCTGCTAATCTGTGGGGGGGTTCTGCTCCAGCTGGCCCTGGTCAACCACATGCCCAAGCCGGGGCAAGCCCTGAATGACATGTACATCTCTGGAGTGGTGTTGCTGGCAGGAGGGGGCGCCGCAGTGGTAGGTGTCGTGATTTACGCGGTTGTGGTGTTGCTGTTGGAGAGAACGAGGCACGGACGGAGGTTCGTGGACCAGGTGTTGAACATATTCACAGTGTCAGGGCGCATGGAGCAGCAGGCCCGCAGAGAGACCACCTCCAGTCTGGCCAACCTGATATAAAGAAGTGACCACACACAGAATGTTGGACACGTCGTACCAGATTATTTATCCTCTGCTACTGTACTACTACTACTACTGCGATTATTACTACTACGACATTAATCCACTTACTACAACATTTATTAATAATAATAATAATTTTTTCACTCCAGTTTGAGACATCTGTGACATTTTGGGTTTGTGAAACAGTACATCTGTCAAACAATTCAAATTTTTTATCTGATAAATTACAGTAAAGCTGTGCATTAACCGATTAATCATGATTAATCGTGACTAATCACGATTAATTGTATGGTATTTTACACTAGACATCTCCAGTGTTTGTGACGGTGGGATTATTAAACTGCACATCACACAAACCAATCATTAAAAAAATGGTTAGAAATGTAATGAATTTCCACTAATATGATTAACGCATTAATTCTGAGAACGTTATAAAAGGTTTTAGTTTCTGAATGTACGGTAAAATGTTTCTATGAACACATGGGAAATATACAGAGAAAAAAATCTGTTTCCATTTCCGCTGCAACATGAGGGGTTAATAAAAGCACATTTAATGACCGAATGAGAGTTGAACAAAATAAAATAAAATCAGTGTGAAATGAGAAGCTGTGAACAAATAAACTTAACATCAATAAATACAGAAAAAAGCACATGAAGTAAAATAGGTCATTTACACACCTGTGTGCGTGTGTGTGTGTATAATTAACCTAATGATCGTTGTACTATTACAAACCCCACGACATACAACTATCTGAACACGGCTTTTATCAAAGACAGCATGGGCACCAGCTGACAATGTAAATAATATTCACAGACCAGAAAATATATTGGGAAATATACCTTGAACAGTTCCTTCATTTGTATTTCTTATCGTATCATTTCCTCTTTTTCACCGTTTCCTCCGACTCATGAATATATGCAGTGGATGATTTGACTGTGGATTAAATTGATTTTTGGATTTAAAAAAAAAAAAAAGTAGTTTGGCTTGGGGGGAGAAAAACAACTTTGTCCTCGGCTCAGTAAAATGACATATTATTGTAATAATCCATGCAGTGAGACCGTGGTGTCAGAGACGGATCGTCCACATGTTAATGTAATACTGGGATTTGTGTTGGGAGAATTATAACAGAGCACTTTATATATGAATACGTGTGTATAATTGTCAGTTTTGTACATGGACACAGTATTTATGCAGCACCTTTGTTGTTGTTTTTTTTTTTTTTTTAATTCCATTTACTTTCCTCTCTATGATGCTATATTTAACTCCATCTAGTGGCTGTGTTTTTATGAATGGACAATTGTGAAAAATGTTTGTCTGTAATTTTCTTTTTTTTATAAATTGAATCTCATTGTTCTTATAAACAGCGTGTCACCAAGCAATAAACTCTGAAGAAACAATTGAGCAAAAGTACGAGGCAGTTGTTGATTAACCTTCTTTTTTTCTCAAAGATCCACAGAGGGGACTTGTTTAAACCAGCACCTTGTGGGGTTGATATAAACCTGGGTCAATCATTTATCCATGAGCTGTACACACGACTACAGTACTCATACAATACTGCTCTTTTACAATAAACAGTACGGTGCAACTGTGTTCATGTTGCAGTGTACTGGCATTGGTGTTTTGAGCATTTCTTTTTCAGCACTGTACAAATTGTTTTATAACAGCCAGGCTGTATATCTGTTGACTTTGTAATAACTGAGTGCTATGACTCAAAAAATTCCCCTTGAAAAAAAATAGATGAGCTGGACAAAGCAATTAAATATAAAAACTTGAATGAATATTACCTGAAGACAAAAAAGGTAAGGAGAAATGGCTGCTTTTTGCCTGTTAGTAGGAGGGTCAAGAGGTCAAACCTCATTATAGAACGCTGTTATGATTGAGTCAGTACACGTGCCTCGTGTTTGTGAGTTTTTTAGACCAGAAATGAATTATTACCTTGGACTCCAGGTGATTCTATAAGAGGTCTGTGATGGACCGGCAACCGACGGTTTCACCAAAGTCAGCAGGGTCGGCTCCAGCTCCCCTCGTGACCCTTAACATAATAAAGAGGTTAAAGCAGCAGCAAAGCATAAACGAGTGTTATGTTTTGGCTTCAGTTTCTTAATCAAATTCAGATCCCTACAGAACAGAAGAGAAAAGCAGATTAATACCATACCGTGATTTAATTCTGAGTCTGCACTGAAGAATCCTGATGTTATATTAACCGGGGGGATTCCAGCGGTGGAGGTGAGGAATTTTGACGGGGTATTTTCTGAATACATTTAAAGTATTTTTTAGCTACGTACATTATTATTCTCCACAGAGCAGAGGTGGAGAATTGACTGCTGTGAGGGGTGAGAGAGGGGGGGGGTGGGGTGGGTCATTACATCAACATGGACAGTCATTGAATTTCAGTGTGCTTGCAAAAAATTCCAAAGCGGGTCGTCAGTATGCTTCATCATCTTTCACTGAATTGTGTAAACCTGCAGTCTCTGCTGCGTGCTTCAAACTGAGCCTCGTTTCCTGAGGTGATAGAATGTTTGCTCTGAAATGTAAATATTGTTTTTGAGATGGATTTTAAAAAAAACAACAAAAAAACCCATCACAACACATCTGAGCTGCAAAGAAAGAAAATGTGTGTTTCTTCACCACGCAGTGTAGAAAAAAAAAATCTGTGTGCGAGTGCCGCAGTGTGTCACACGTGTGAGTCGGTCAGTCACGCCTTGGGACAGACAGGGTCAAACAGTTGACCATTGTTTTGATGACAGAGCAAACTGAAGGCACAATGCACAAGGAAGCAATAAGAGGGTTGGTATGGACTAGTACCAGCCCCACCTCTCTGTCTCCGTCTCTATCCTTCTCTGTCTGAAACCTCCACAAAAAACAAAGCCCCTAAAACTCCTCTTCCCAGCAAACTCGACTTCTGTTCTCCTCACTGCCACACATTTGGCTTTGACCTTAAGACTCACCGCAGCGACGACGGGCTGTGACAGCAGAAGCCAACAACATGAAGCAGGAGTCTCTTAACCAGGGACCGTTGCCTAATTATCGTCTTCTGAAAATAATCTAAAATATTGACATTTCTCAGAATCGTTTTTTTTTATAAATATTTTGTATTTCTCTAGTGATGTTACAGGAAGCTTTAAAATGTTAAATAAGAATTCGATCTCTGTCAAATTCCCACATAGCAGAGATAAATACTGCCTAAGGGCAGCAGACAAGTGATGACGAGGAGGGGCCCCAGGACAGAGCCCTGAGGCACACCTGAGGAAGGCTGGGAAGAGAGGGAATAAATATATGTGGTTAGTGAGACTGGAGTTAAACCAGTGTCAGATTAGTGATTAAACAGAGCAACATACACATTTCTGATGTTTAGATTTTTTTATCTCTAAGAAACAACAATAACAAAACGTTCAATATTATTAGATACAAAATGTATTTATTTTTCCAAATATATCCCTTTTTCCTATGGACAAAATTGTTTGATAAATTAATAAAAACACATTGAAGAAAAAACCTCATTAGTTTCAGAAACCTGTCCGACGCAACATTTATTATGTTTTTCGCACTTCTTGAAAACTTCATTACTCAGACCAACTGTAACGATGCACATGTTAAATATCAAACAAACCCCCCCCAACTCAATATAGTTGTCACTATTCTGTGTTCCTTCAAAGCAACATATTCCTTCAAGTACTTTTACGTCAGAATTTCTTCCCTTTTTTTTTTGCCATTCTCAGCGTTTTTCACAGGAGAGAAACCAGCAGAGAACAAACAAGCGATAAGAACATGACAGAACCGTCTGCACTGGTCTGGTTCAGTCTGGACCTCGCAGCGGCAGCGGCCCGCTGATGTTGAGCACAAGGACAAGGTTACAGGCCCCATGAGAGAGTGTCCACAATATTATGTTACGCCTCCAACGTCTTTGACAATATTGTGCCTTATTAATCATTGATCTGGTCGCTGGTGTTAGCCTCAGTGCGGGGAGGTGGGGGGGGTGGTGGTTATACTCACAGTTCTAAAGGTGATTTTTTTTACATAGGCAAATTTTCTTAAGGCAAACAGAGTTCAGGCAAAATGGGTTCAAATGATATGAGTGAAGATTAACAGATGTGGATATGCAGGAAATAAAATGGTGATGGCTCACAAGACGCAGATTTTTGCATGTTACACCGTCGGATGTCATAATACATTTACATAGGTTTCGCCTTTTTTTGAAGAAAAAAAATTTTTACAAACGTCTGTTTGTTCTTTTAAATCACATAAGAGTAAATGTCTAAGCAGTTAGAGCAAACATCGTCACCTTCCACATGCTGAAAATGTTCATTTAAATCCTGAGGAACTTCTTTGAAAATAAATCACAGATTAGTGGTTTTTGCACCATTTTGTTTTCCATTTGAAAAAAGTTTGGAAGAGATTACGTCTCATTCAGCTGTAGTCCGCCTGAATATGTCCTCCGCTGCCAAGAAAAGGGGAGTACAGAGAGAAGGAAAGGAGACAAGAGGAGAGGAGAGGAGAGGAGACAGCAGAAAACCCATTCGTCTAGCAGCATCTTTGCCCTTTAGTTTGTCCGGAGTTGGTAATCTGCCAAAGAAAAAGCAGCAGAGCATTAACACAGATTTCTTTGACTCATAACCCCAACACATCACTCTTGTCGTAAGGCCGGACGGATCTACACTCACAGGAGTACCTGTGGTGTCACTTTACTGTGGTGGAAGATGAGACACGGAGTAAATACGACTCTCTAATTAAAAATGCACTCAAACTGCCGTCAGTGTTGGTACCACATCTCAATGCAGAACTTAAACACACAGTACTATGATATACGGAGATGAGATTCAAGAACTGCACCTCAGTACCGATACTTCTTAGTCGGAGTACAATCACAGTTGTCACAGTAGTGACCTGTCTTGGCTGGAGGTAATCCACAAAACTCCACACCTTATAGTACATTAGATAAATCTTCATATTACATGAAATCTAATTTTTCTAACATGAAGGCTCTGGGTTTTTTTTATTTTCAAAATTCATCAGGTGGGCCAGACTGAACCTCCTAGCAGGCCGGTTTTGGCCCATGGGCCATATGTTTGGCACCCCTGTAATAGATCATTACTATACATCACTGTGCTTTGACAAAGAGACGATTCTACTTCATCCCTTATCTGACTTCTTCATTAGATGTTAATGGCAGCTGCCATCCTGTGACTTGGATTACTGCCACCTTCTGGCACCAAAGTGACTCAGTCGATCACTCGTCCAGACACTCAAGTTTGTCTTTATACTGACCTAAAATGTAAATATAAAAAATAACTTTTGACAGTTTTTTCCCACTCGTTATGACTATAATTATCAGTTAAGCAGCTGGATCGTAACGATACTGGTTCCTGATCATGTGACCTGAGCCGTCACTCAATGCTGTAGTGTCATCACCAATGTGTCTGTTCATCACTCATTAATAATCAATGCGTCACAGCCAGTCGGCAGGTACTGTTTAATCAGCACGAGTGTCTCTCTGTGAAATGTGATCATCATTAACACGACTTCATTACCGCCCCCTGCAGTGCTGAAGGCAGCATTGCGTGGTAAGTCATTCTTACTTCTCCACTCTGCATTCATTTATCTTCACCCTCCCATTATTTTCACACCAGCCTCCTCTCACTCCTACTTTCAGCCCATCTCTGTCACAGAAAGACGGTCGTGACCTTGGCATTTAGCTATCGCCCCTCTGTGAGCGCGCAAGACACTTTCTGTCGTTGTTATTTAACTTTTATCATTCAACGCAGACAGTAGAAAAGAAATGGACGTCACAACCTCGATGCGACGATGGTTATGGTCTGAGACCACTGAGCTCGGGCGCAGTTTCTCTGCTGTTTGCTGAGTATGATATATTTGTACCAAAGTCACTGTATTTACAGTGTCAGTCAGTATTCGTTTTACAGTGGAGCGGAAAGTTTGCTCACGCGAGCAAAACACTTTCACAACAACTTCTTTGTTGTCCATAGAAAGGATATTGTAATCTCAATGCTTAAAATAAAGTGGAAGTAATAATAATAATATTGTTATTATTATTACCAACACTATTAATTTTATTAATTTATTATTATTATTATTATTATTAGCCACCTGTAGCTGCTAAAGACCAGTATAGACTGGAAAGACTGATGTGACTGAGCTAGAAAATCATTTGTTCCTTCTGTTTGTCTGGAAAAGGTTCCTGCTGGCAGTGGAACTGTTGCCCTTCAATCTTCATATTATTTCCATTTTCTCTCCTTTGAGATTTTTTTTTTTTTTTTTTTTTGCTGCAGTCTCATCAATACAGTGCAGCTTTTTCTCCCGTGAAAAGCAGTGAGGTGTGTTATGTCCAAGCAGCAAGCATGCAATTAGGGTTATAAATTTCTCTCCTATCTTTTTGGTTAAATTATAAAATTGTGGTTTAAAGGAACTTTAAACCTCATTAAACCTGAGTCGCAAAAATGTGATCTCCAGTCTGTTCAATCTCCCGATCCCAGGTACTGGGCTTGCCTCACAAATTTTGACAGATTCTCAATGACTGTACAGCTCTGTATGAATCTGGACGACAGACAGACGTTACCTGAGTGTGAACCGAGAGAATCTATGTCACAGGACTGAAACCCTGATGGAGGGTTTTATCCCTGGCATACTGTGTGGTGTCACACTGAGCCCCAGAGGCCATGGCTCATGGTGATAGGGGCCAGGTAATGGATATGAGGGATGATACACAGCTGAGTTCACTCCTGGGGCACACACTGAATAGTGATGAACAAAGACCCACTCTGATGTTGTTTTCACAGGGAAAAACATTGAATTTAACCTGAGGGTGTCTTCCAGTGTGTTACTAGGGTCGGGTGGCACACCAGCCTGCTTTTAAGAAACATTAGATTTAAATTAAAAAAGATAAAAGGCCTCGGGTTTATTCAACTTTTTTTTTTTAAAGTCCAACCATTTTAGAGCCTTCTGACTTTTACTTCCATTTAAACATTTATCTTACAAATCCATGTATCCATGTAACAGGAGTAAATCAACAAATAATCCTAATATCAATTTTTAAAATAGATTTACTACTTTAAAAGGTGTATTATCACTTTCTGTAGTGTAGTGTGAGTCCAGTGCCAGTGTGTTTATTCTCACCTCCACTCTGTGTGATGTAACGCACCCATGGTAACGCCTG